TGCCCTTGACACCTGCCTTGCTGGCTCCACTTCTTCCGCCACTTGCTGCCTCTCGCCCCCAGCCTCCATTTCGCTGTCAGAGGCCTTCCAGAAAAGCCTCTGCAGCTGAGAAATGAGCTCAGGATCGATGCACACGTCGCCCCCTGGCTTCCACTTTGCTATCAGAGGAAGGTGAGTAAGACATCCCCTGAAAATAAGACCTGGTGCCTGTTTTGGAGGCAAAAAAACTATAAGAAGGGTCTTACTTTCGAGGAAATAGGGTAGTTGCTTGTTGTATCAGTTTTGTTGGAGGTGTGGTCTCCTTCATACTGCCTGATTTTTGTCCGGTGTTGGTCTTATCTGAGTGGTAGGTAGTTGCTGGAGGGGATGTGTTCTGGTCATTTTATTTTCTTTCTAGGTTTTTTATTGCCTCTTTTGAATTCTGTGTAAATATGGTTTATCTGTGTGCTTACATTACAGGTAGTCCTTGACCTACAACCATAATTGAGCCCAAAATTTCAATTGCTAAGTGAAACAATTGTTAAGTGAGTTTTGCCCCATTTCTTGCCAGAGTTGTAAAGTGAATCACTGCAGTTGTTGAGTTAGCAATATGGTTGTTAAGTGAATCTGGCTTCCCCATTGACTTTGCTTGTCAGAAGGTCACAAAGGCTGATCACGTCCCCCCCCCCCCCATGAGACAGCAACCGTCATCAATACATGCCGGTTGCCAAGTGTCTGAATTTTGATCACATGACCCTGGGGACGCTGCAACAGCTGTAGGTTTGAAAAAGAGACATAAGCCATAAGTTTTTTCAGTGCTGTTGTAGCTTTGTCCGATTGCTGAGTGAACTTTTGTAACTCAAAGACTACCTGTAATAGTCATAAATTACAAGAAAATAGGTGGAAAGATATTTTTTTCTAACATTCAGTGTGTTATGTTCTGAGAGTGGAACCAACCCCAAGATTATTAATTGTGTTGGTGAGCTTACTTTACAGGACATGTTGAAGCAGAGGCTAGAATCCATCTGCCTGCCATTTGATACTTTGGATTTCTGCAGTGAACAGGATTGGGCTTGCTGTCCTGAACTTCCCATTGTAAATCCCAGAGGTGCTTTTTCAAAAGGCAACTGGACTTTCTTTGTTTATCCTGGAAGAAGCCTGCTTCTCATCCAAGAAGCTTCTTCAGTTTCAGTTCAGAACTGAAAAAGCTTCTTGGATGAGAAGCAAAATGTCTTCAGGGAAAAACAAAGAAAGTTCAGTTGCCTTGTGAAAAAGCACCTCTGGGACAGAAGCAAAAGGAAGACTTATAGAGACAAGAAGTATAAAACAAAATAAAAACAAAAAAATAGATCAAGTTAAAAATGGGAGACGTAATTAAGCTTTTTTCTATAAATATTAATGGATTAAATATATCAAGAAAAAGTTTAGACATTTAACAATTTAAGGAAATTGGATCTAGATGTGATGTATCTTTAGGAAGTTTACATAAAATAGGATTATAGAAAATTACTAGAAAAAGTAAAATTTAGAAACATTATATACTTGGATGAAAAGGGGTGAATTTTAATGTTGGAAATAGTATTAGAGTAAAAACAGTATATGGGCTAAATAATATGAGACTATTTGTATGATCACCATGCTTAGATGGAATTCCAGTCGAGTCTTATAAACAATATGAGTGTTACTACAATGAATAATGTTGGATTCCTAGTAAGTAGTAGAATATGAAAGAAGGAAAATGTAAATAAGAAACAATGGGGCGATAAGGACAAATATTTCAAAGAAGAAAGAGGGGGGAAATGTAAAGAATAGAAGAGTACTGTTACAAACTGTTGTTAACAAAAAAGGATATATTACTTGTGTATGTTTGTGGTGTTTTGTTTTGTTTTGTTGGTCTAAATAAAAAAAAAGAAAAGAAAAAGCACCTCTGGGACAACCATGACCTGGATGACTTGGGAATCTCCATAGCCATTCCCATTGTAAAGGTTTTGTGAACCTGGTCAGTAGGGCTCGTGTCTTCCTTTTAGCACAGTGGTTCTCAACCTGTGGGTCGGGACCCCATTTGGGGTCGAACGACCATTTCATGGGGGTCGCCAAACCACGCTGTCCGCCATTTTTCCCCTTTTCCCTAGCTGTCCTACTCCCTCTTATTGGTGGCCACACCCATTTGGGGGTCACCACAACATGGGGAACTGTATTATGGGGTCACGGCATTAGAAAGGTTGAGAACCACTGATTTAGAAGCTTTAATCAGCTGCTATCAGGCAAAATTAGTTAAGTAAGAAGCTCGCCTGATTCCTCTGGAAACCTGTCAATATTTTCAGAGAGTGAATAAGTTGGATCCCATTTGATTAAATATGACATGTTGCATCCCTTTAGTTTCCAGAGTTTTCTTGGAGTCTAATTTAAAATCAGTACAGGTAAATCCTCAACTTACAACAGTTTGTTTAGTGACTGTTTGCAGTTACAACAGCACCGATTTTCACACAACCGTTGCAGTATTCCCCTGGCCACGTGATCAAAAGACAGATGCTTGGCAACTGGCTCATATTTGTAATGGTTACAGTGTCCCGGGATTCTTTGGTCACCTTTTGTGACCTCCTGATAGGCAAGGTCAACGGAGAAGCCAGATTCACCTAACAACCATGATATTAACTTAACAACTGCAGTAATTCACTTAACAACTGAGGCGAGAAAGGTCATAAAATGGGGCAAGACGAATTTAACCACTCTCTCGCTTAACAACAGAAATGTTGGGCTCAGTTGTGGTCAGAAGTTGAGGACTATCCATGCAAGTAATTTCTCCTTCCATAAGGAGGAGTTACTAAAAGAGAGGGAAGGGAACAGGCAGCAGGGGCAGGTAAGGGATCAGCGGGGAGGGGGGGGCGGAATGGGGACCTGAGGCAAAATTGTGGGCCAAGATGCTGTGCTGGGTTATCAGAAGAGGGAAGATTCTGGGAGGATGGGGTGGGTGGACAAACTGGAGGCAGGAGGAGAGGACAATGTATATCAATTTTGCCGTGCTTGAACCTTAAAATCACTCTGGGAGCTCTCTAGATCAGTGGTTCTCAACCTTTTTAATGCCATGACCCCCCCCCCAACCGGTCGTAAGTCGAGGACTACTCAACCGGTCGTAAGTCGAGCACTACTCAACTGGTGCAGCACCGTTTGCAGAATGGGTCTTTTGGCGGGCTCAGCAGGGCAGAGACAGCCTGGACAATTCCTATTGGCTTTTGAAAGCCAATAGAATTAGACTCTATTCAAGAGAGTCTATTCTATTGGCTTTCAAAAGCCAATAGAATAAAAGGGAGTAGCACAGCTAAGGAAAAGGGGGGGGGGGGAAATGGCGGGCTGCATTGTTTGGCGACCTCCGTGAAATGGTCGTTCGACCCCAAATGGGGTCCCGACCCACAGGTTGAGAACCACTGCTCTAGATTTTACGTGTTCTGAACAACCAACAAGTTTTGGTTTTTACTTCAACTTAAGCCAGGGCTCATTTGAAATAGTTTGGCAGAACTTTCAGATTTGAAGCAAAGTGTAATGTTCTTACTGAAGATGCGTTGCTTCACAGCATAGTAAATAAAATTTTGTACATTTACGAAAACGCTAGGTAGGAAGATGAAGAATGCATTTCTAACAGGGTGGCAGAGAAGGAAATCACATAAGAGGATAATTGCCCCCTATGGCGTGTTGTTGATCTAGTGAACAGCTGCTGTTTTAATTGGTTGTAATTGTTCCATTGATATAGCAACCATACTGAGTCACAGCTTTTGTGTTACCGTGATCATATGTCAGCAGTGTTCAAGTTACACTATTGTGTTACTGTGCAACAGAGGTTGTAATGCAATAGAATATGTAAAGAACTGACTCCCACCATCTGGGCCCCTCCAGAACTACAGTTCTCCTCATTCCACCCCATGAGGGTAGAAGAAATTACAAAAGAAACATGGAGAGAGAGCAGCAGGTTGAGCTTTTGAAAATATACCACAAAAATTGTGGAATCTTCCCTCAGTATTTAAGAAATCCAAAGATAAACATGCAAGTAGTTTGCTGGTAAATGACATGTTACTGGACAATTTTCTGGATATGGTTCAAATCCCAAGGCTCAAGATGCTTTATGAAACACAGGAAAACAATTTAATTTGCCGAAATGGTTTTCCAAAACATTCATTGACAGTATTAGTAAGAGATCAAACTTCAGCCTTGCTGAGAGCTTTTTGATTGAAATGAAATATTACTACCTTTCTTTGGGGGGGGGAGGGAAACTGTAAAATGGGAATAAAACTGTCTTAACTCAAAGTGAATTATTTTTAATGTCTGTTAACTCAAAATGCATTATTTCATGTATGTTATATTTTCTCAATGAAATCTTACAGCAGATGTTGGCTACAGTAATTCCATGCTTGTTTACTGGCTTGCCATATTTTTAAAAAATGCTTCATGATATAAATAAAAGTAGAGAAGAAAGTTTCTCTTGCCAATGACTTCAGGATCTGTCAAGTATATAAATGAATACTGCTTTTCTTTAATCAAACCGTAGTAACTTTTAGAACAGGCGCCCAAATTGTTTTGTTTCCCTACTGCCTTTTTTTTCTTTTTCTTTAGAAATTTTGCTTGCTTGTTTGTTTGTAATTTAGGGGCTGCCTAACTTCAAATGGCTCTGGGTGATTTACATTTTAAAAGCAAGAACAATAAAAAATAAACAGCAAAACAAACAACCCCCCCAAAAAACCTATAAAGATTTGGTGACTGCCTGGGAAAACACTCAGGTTCTCAAAGACTTTTGAAACATCATTAAGGTGAAAGCCGAATGAATCTCTGGGGAGATATTATTTATTCCAGAGGGCAAGCATCACAACAGAAAAGCCATTTAATCTAAGAGCAACAGTTATCATCCTGCTGATTGTTACAAACTACTCAGGCAGCCTTTGGGGATAATGAGTACTGAAAGTGCTTTGCTGTTGAGAATCTTTTATGTTTGGAATGGGAAATAATTAACTAACTTATTCTTTGAATTTCAGGAAACTATTTGTAGGAGGCCTAGATTGGAGCACCACGCAAGGTAAATTAATCTGCCTCCTAGATTGAACATCCCAAGAAGGACATGTTTTAAGTTTTTTGTGGTTTCTTTTTGAATGGCACAACCCCAAGAAGCCATTCCCTAATGGTTCTGCATACTCTGTTCTCCTGTAAGAGAAAGAAAGAAGCGATAGGTAGTCTGGTCATCCTAAGGCTCAAATAGGAATCTTCAGAATTCTCCCTGGCCTAGATCATTAAAATTGTGTTTGTGTATATTGGCCCATTAACCACCACCATCACCATCACATCCCCCTTCAGTTGACCTTGTTAGTTTGTTCTGAACAGAGCTCCGCTATCTCTCAGCCCCGAATGGTTGGAAACCCATTTCAAGGTAATACTATTTTATACATTGCTCTCCTTGTCCTAAAGAAAGGGCTTATAACTGTGGTTGACTCGAGTCATTCTGGGCTTATTGCAGTGTGTCGAACACCATACTCTGAATGATGCAGGACAGGAAGGTTGAAATTTGCAAAAGCGTTTTTAGCTTACAAAATGGGGAGTGGGAGAAGAAAGAGCCGAATATTTGTTCCAACACTTGGAGGGCTCTGGAACTACGAAAGAAGCACTGGAGGGTCACATACTGTATTTTGCATCCCCAGAAGTATGTCTTCACTTGTACCTGAGAATATCCTCCTATAAAATTGCAAACTATTCCTGGAATGCATTTATTTCCATATTGGCCCCTATTCTATTTTTGACAAACTAATCTCAACAAAGTATGTTTTCCTTTAACAGAAACTCTTCGTAGCTATTTTTCCCAGTATGGGGAAGTTGTTGACTGTGTAATAATGAAAGATAAGACTACAAATCAGTCACGCGGATTTGGATTTGTCAAGTTCAAAGATCCCAACTGTGTGGGAACTGTCCTGGCCAGCAGACCCCATACGTTAGATGGCCGAAATGTAAGTTTTTCCACTCACGTGCAGGAATACAACTGAGTGTCAATTGACTGTTAAAATGAATATGATTAAATCATGCCTTTGAAGTGATAATGTCTTTGCTGAATCCTGACAGTACTGGAGACTCAGCTTTATTTTACATGCTGCCCCTATTATTTGAATATAATTTGCTCCCAGGTCCTGGACATTAGATGGAGAGCTTTTTGTTGATAGTTTTATTTGAGTTTATCTTTAGCGACCATTGTAGGTTTTTATTCTTTGCTAACATTATTTTTATTGTCTTAATATGCTATTGGTGTCCAGAGTTGCTTTCACCAGTTGGGCGTTCATATAAATTGATTTAATGTGTATATAAGAAGTCACTTCTTTATTACCACAATTATTGTCCTTTTCCCCCTTATTTGGGGAGTTACTGCAACATTCTAAATTCCTGAGTTAGCCATCATCAAAGTAAATATGATTGTAGAGTTTGGATCCACCAATGTTACTAAACTTTAACAGTGATTGTGTACTGCATTGACATATACCATTTAAGGCACAATAACTTGTAAAAAGAGAAAGTTTTTCTTTTGGTTTATAATTTCTTCTCTACTTGGTCATCTCCAGTTTTTCCTAATTTTCTCTGGCATGTGACCTTTCCGAGGTGACATTTTAACAAATTATTTTTTTTAGTAAAGCCTTCCTTTAATTCAGGTTCTTTTTTTGTGTCATAGTTCTCTAGTTTTCTCTAGGAGAATATAGCTTTGCTGGGTTGTACATGCCTCTACCTCTGTTGAGCCATGTTCTTTCCATTATTCCATCATATGAGCGTCTTAATATGTAATTTTATTCCACCATCTTGAAAATGAGGTGGCAGGAATTATTATCATATGCTAGCTTATTTTCTCAAATGCTGGTACCAGTAAGCCCTCTTCACTTGACAGATTGATCCCAAACCCTGTACACCTCGAGGAATGCAGCCTGAGAGAACACGACCAAAGGAAGGATGGGTAAGGAAGTGTCTTCACGTCGCTTCATATTATTCCTCTTCTTGGTGTCTTCATTGAAATGTGGTGTTCTCCATCAGAATGGATGTAGAATCCACTGATTGGATAATTTAATCCCTCCTGCTCAGACTAAGAAACAAAAAAACTTTGCCACGCCTCCTTCTGGGTGTGACTTTCCCCAGTTTTTTCTTAGTCTCGAGCTCAGCTAGACGCGTTTTGGAGAGGCTGCTTTCGGAAGGAGAGTCCTACAGCGAGTGGTTGGTTCTCAGGGGACACAAGCCTAGACTTCCCTCTCTGTGGGGACATGAGCGGCTTTAGTATGTCCCAATCAGTGGATTCTCCATCCATTCTGATGGAGAAAAGAGCCTTGTCTTACCTGAACGCTTTTTCTCATCAGGATGGTGTAGAATCCACACCCACCCTGTTAGTGTTAGTCTAGGCATGCATTTTTTTTTCTTGTTTTTGTTTGGAGCCTTGCGTCTGGATGCTTCGCCTCAAAAAAACTGGGGAAAGTCACACCCAGAAGGAGGCGTGGCAAAGTTTTTTTGTTTCTTAGTCTGAGCAGGAGGGATTAAATTACCCAATCAGTGGATTCTACACCATCCTGATGAGAAAAAGCGTTCAGGTAAGACAACGCTCTTTTTTTGTCTCCATGACCACAAAGCTTTGTTGTAAGCAGGCGTATCAAATGCAGATGTGCCAACCAAAAATAAATGAGAGTTTTCAGGAGTAAGCCCAGTGCTTCCAGCAGATTATAAAAAAAATGACATGTGAACTTTCAACTGTGTTTGGTGGATACATGCTATCATTCCACTGTGTGAGATTTAATATCAGGTAGGCGTGAAATCTCCCATTTAGAAATTACTCTAAACTTGCTCGAAACAAAAGTAGAAAACACACAGGAAACTACAGTTGGATCAGCAGTTACTATTTTTTTACAACTGTTAACAGTAGTTGATTTCAGCAAAAATGAATGAATATTACAGACCAGGAAAGGCATTGACCCAAATAATAAATAAATTCTAGAATAAAAATTTCTTAACTTCCTGCCGACTGCTTTTAGGTTTTATATAACCTGTTGGGCTTCCCTTTGATCTACCAATCCATAATAGAAGTTGCAAAAATTTGTTTTATAAAGTAGAAGATATTCTCAGAAAAGCAAGAGATTCTGCAGGAGAATTCACTTTTCAGCTAGGCTGGGTCCATATCATGAAGAGTTGTGTAACTCAGTTAAGTAAGGCAGGGTAAGTCAACCGTAGGTGTTTATCTAAATCAGTGGTTCTCAACCTGTGGGTCGGGACCCCATTTGGGGTCGAACAACCATTTCACAGGGGTTGCCAAACAACGCAGTCCACCATTTTTTCCCCCTTTTCCTTAGCTGTGCTACTCCCTTTTATTCTATTGGATTTTGAAAGCCAATAGAATAGACTCTCTTGAATAGAGTCTAATTCTATTGGCTTTCAAAAGCCAATAGGAATTGTCCAGGCTGTCTCTGCCCTGCTGAGCCCGCCAAAAGTCCCATTCTGCAAAAGGTGCTGCACCAGTTAAGTAGTCCTCGACTTACGACCGGTTGAGTTGTCCTCGACTTACAACCGGTTGGGGGTCGCGGCATTAAAAAGGTTGAGAACCACCGATCTAAATGTTCTCACTTAAATCATTTTTACTTATTTATTTAATTTATTTGCCACCCACCTCAAAGTTCAAAGCAATTCTGAATCATACTTCTTGCCTCCCTTAATTCTCCTTTGTTCTCCTTCAGCTCATTGCTTTTAATCTTCTTTTCTTCTCCCAGTTGTGTTGCCGTTGTTTTTACAGCACTGAAGTCCTCTTGCCCTACGAATCCCTGCTTTGCCCTTTCTTTTCATCAGCCTTTTCCTAGTCTTTTCTGTGACTCTGCTTTCCTGTGCATAAGCGAGTATAGCGGAGTTCTTTCCTTCCCTGCTTTTGTTTGTTGCATGTATTACATGTTGTTATTTTCAGTTCAGAAACCTTGAGGGGTAAGCAAGTAACACTTAACACTTTTACACTTCAGTTTGTTTATGCAGTCAATCGATCAATCTGTTTACTTTAAAATTTTTTAGAGCCGTCAGCTTTACCAGCATGAGATGAAATATTCTTGCCAATTTTCATATGTTGAGAGCATCCTGGCAACATTTCGACAAGGTCCCATTCGTCATCTTCAGGCTGGGGTCTTTGGCTTTGTGCTTGTGCAGGTGCAAGCACGAAGCCGAAGACCCCAGCCTGAAGATGACAACTGGAACCTCGTCAAAACGTCGCCAGGATGCTCTCAATCTTACACGGGAAAAGACCCGAATACACCAAGACCTGCATACCTATACCCGTGAAAATCTACGAAAACATATATATCTATATCTATCTATATCTATCTCAGTGGTTCTCAACCTGTGGGTTGGTACCCCATTTGGGGGTCGAACGACCATTTCACAGGGGTCGCCAAACAACGCAGTCCGCCATTTTTCCCCCTTTTCCTTAGCTGTGCTACTCCCTTTTATTCTATTGGCTTTTGAAAGCCAATAGAATAGACTCTCTTGAATAGAGTCTAATTCTATTGGCTTTCAAAAGCCAGTAGGAATTGTCCAGGCTGTCTCTGCCCTGCTGAGCCCGCCAAAAGTCCCATTCTGCAAACGGTGCTGCACCAGTTGAGTAGTCCTCGACTTACGACCAGTTGAGTAGTCCTCGACTTACGATCGGTTGGGGGTCGTGGCATTAAAAAGGTTGAGAACCACTGATCTATCTAAACCTATCTACAGTATATCTATATCTATCTATCTATCTATCTATCTATGGAGAAATCCTTGTTTCAATACAACTCTCCCTTTTCTGTTGGTAGAAAGGATCCAGGAGTGATAGCAAGTCTCATAAAATTTTTGTTGGTGGGATCCCTCACAACTGTGGTGAAACGGAGCTCAGGGAATACTTCAAGAAGTTTGGAGTGGTGAGTTATTGTGATGGAATACATTATTTCATGAAGGGTGTTGTCCTTCACCTTCTAATTCTTTAAAATATTACTTTTTTTTCATTTGGTGGGATAAATAAGTTAAATAAGACTGTGGCTGGTTGATGTTCATTTTTTTAAAAAAATGATAGTTACGTTACAAAAGCCCTTCATTCTAACTTATTCTGTTTGAATGTTTCTGAGCTTATGTTTTTAATCTCTTTTTCTGGCATTTTTATTAACTGGACACCATGTAATTTGGCAGTATATATATATTTTTTTTGATTTTGCAACATTAGGAAAGCTTTGTTACATGTTTTCCTCTCATATCATTTCAACAGTAATTTTGCTGCAGAAATAATATTTTGTTGAGGGGAGAATTGGTGGGTAAACCATAACTTAAGTAACAGTCTGAAGCCTTTAGTAAGGGACTTGGCAACCTTTTGTTTACATAATAATAAAATTGATAAAATTTGCAATTGTTGCCTTGGATCTTTTGCAGATCATTTGTTTTGTTTTCATATGATTTGATTTTGGCATTTTAGCCAAGTTTGAGTCCCAATACCTTAGTGCAGACTTGTCAAACACAAGGCCCGGGGGCCAGATGCGGCCCGTGAAGTGGTTTCATGTGGCCCGTGAAGCCATCCTGGAAACAGTGAGAGAACGGCCCCTGCTGCCTTGGCCCAGACTGGCTGGGAGCCAATGTACAATTTTGTGGTGGCCATCTATGCTGAAACGCATTCAGTCTTAGCTCCACAAGGCTGTCTGGAAGCAGCGAGGAATCAGCCCCTGCAGCATTGGCCCCACCCCCTGGGTGCATGCCGGGGAGGTGTCACCCTTTGTGAGGAATGAAGAAATGGACCATGTCTTGGCACTTGCCCCAGTCCCACTCCCTTCTGCCAGAGACCCTCAGATCTGTCCCACTCCTGCCAGACCCCCACAGTCACCCTTGACGCGAACGATGTAGAGCTGGCCATGCCCACCCAGTAGGCCACACCTACTCCATCCACGCCCACCCAGTAGGCTGCACCCACCCAGCCCCCCAAGGGCAACCGCAATGCTGATGCAGCCCTCAATGAAATTGAGTTTGACACCCATGCCCTAGTGTTTAGGGATGGCGGATGTTTTAATGTCAACCTATTTGAAAGATAGTAGATTAGGAATTTATAATAGGAATATAAGGCGATGTTGCCTATTGAATTGTATCGTATTGTATTGTAATATGATAGTCTATTCTTGATCCTGGGTGTTAATACTCAGGGTTTCAGGCCTTTTTGCATAAGCAGGACGGACTAACAAAATACCAACTCAGATCTCCCACCCCAGACAACTTTTTCATTGCCTCTTTGACAAGATAGTTCAGTTTTCATTAAATATTCACACACTTTGCACTGGGTTATATTACTTTCCTCCTGAGCTCACCACTACCCTTTAATTTTCTTTCTCCTCTTCCCATAATAGGTAAGTAAACATACTTCATTACATAAACAAATGCAATTTATCATTTTATTTGTAAGATCCTTGTTATGCAGCAGCCTTTTCTAGTCTAAATACCTTTAAATATTATGGGCCCTAGTTCCCATAATCCATCATAATTGGCAATAACATTTGGGAATGGTGTGGGATACAGTCCAAAACTCTGAAGGAAACCAGGTTTTATATGTTAATATAAAATAGTATGAGAGGAGTCACAATCTCTAAATGCTGTCTTACGTCTCCACTCCAGTCCCCCAGTGCTAATTTATTTATTTATTTATTTATGAGACTTATATACCGCTTTAAGTGCAAACACTCCCTAAGCGGTGTACACCAATAAGCAATGTATATATATATTTACATAGCCCCCAACCATCTGGGTCCTCATTTTACCTACCCCAGAAGGATGGAAGGCTGAGTCAACCTTGAGCCGGTGAGATTTGAACCGCTGACCTGCTGAACACAGTCAGCTAAAGTGGCCTGCAGTACTGCACTCTAACTGCTGCGCCACCTTGGCTCTACTATCTACTATTTCTGCTAAATTATGCCTATTAGCTTTCGTTATAGGATTCTATTAAATCAACAAAGCCTATCAAAACCATGATGGCAAGTAAAGATAAAAAGATTACCAGTACATGCACTGTAAAATTTTCTATAGCTTGACTTCTTATCAAAAAGCTTCACTTAATGAGAGGCCTGGTTTGCACACTATGCCATTGTCAGCCATTAGGTGGCTTATTATATTTTGCTTAACATGTCTGAACCATGGTAATCGCATCCTATTCATGACATCATGTTAAACTGTAGTTCAAGCATGGCTTATTCCACAATGTGAAGCTACTGTTAGGGCATGTCAGCAATGAAGTCCAGAATAGCAAGTACTCCAGCATTTTAGAGAACTAAATTTTTATATGACTGACAGAGAAAAATGTTTGATGAAACTAGGGCTATCATCATGTTTTCTATTTCCTCTTTAAGAGATACTTTTATTTTCATAATTTGAGGTGATAAAATCTCCAAATTAATTCTCTCCCCAAAATACACGCAGCTTCACCCTGAGGGATGGAAGGTGAATAGTGATACATTAGAGAAGCACTAAAATTTTCCCCTCTTCGGAATTACATATGGAGCCTAAAATGCAGAACTATTCCTAAACTCTTGCTATACAATATTACTGGTACATTTTTAAAAAGATAATGTGAAAGAAATTAGCAGTGTAGGTTTATTGGATAACTTTCTTGAAAATAAACAGGGAGCCAGTGCAATATGGAAAAGGGCTAGTGGAATACAGTGGGTAAATACAGCTGTCTCATGTAGCTGTACTTTAAAATAGTTTATATGGCAAGAGGACCATTTACATCTTGCCAACCTGGAACTATACTTATTTTTATTTGTAGTAAGCTTAACTACTTTTAAGAGGGGTTAAGCTTTTGAACGCTTTCTAGAGCAGGGGTCCACAACCCGCGGTCCGCGGACCGGTAGCAGGCCGGCAATCTGGCCGCACGAACAAGCAAAGCCCCATCTGTGGGATGGTGGTCTGTGGAAAAACCTTTCTCCATGAAACTGGTCCCTGGTGCCCAAAAGGTTGGGGACCTCTGTTCTAGAGAACCCTGGCAGATATGGATTGAGTTATTTCACTAAGCTTTATGTGATATGTCTAAGAGCTTTCAACAGTTTGCAAAATAAAGCAGCCAGTGTGCCAAAAGTGCTTTTTCAAAAGACAACTGGACTTTCTTTGTTTTCTTTGAAGACATTTCACTTCTCATCCAAGAAGCTTCTTCAGTTCTGAAGAACTGAAGAAGCTTCTTGGATGAGAAGTGAAACGTCTTCAAGGAAAACGAAGAAAGTCCAGTTGCCTTTTGAAAATGCACCTTTGGGACAACCATGACCTGAATGACTGAGAATCTCCATAGGCAAACAGCCAGTGTAGTATAGTGGTTAGGGTGCTGAGCTTGGAGAGACCTAGATTCAGATATGCACTTGATTGTGGAACTTCTTGAATAACTTCAATCCATTTATTTTCTTTCTCTGCCTAACCCGCTTCACACCAAGTACAGTAAATTGATACTACCGCGTTTCCCCGAAAATTAAGACCCAACCGGAAAATAAGCCCTGGTATGATTTTTTCAGGATGCTCGTCATATAAGCCCCACCCCAAAAAGAAGCCCCAGTTAAGATTGTCAGCCAGACAGATGCATTTAGTACCGTATTTCCCCGAAAATAAGACCTAACCGTAAAATAAGCCCTAATGCGTCTTTTGGAGCAAAAATTACTATAAGCCCCGGACTTATTTTCAGGGAAACACAGTAGATGTAAAATTAGGGTAGACCTTAGGTAAATTTGTCTTGAACTCACAGAAAAGGCAAAGTACAAATAAAGGGGATCAAGAGGTGTTTATAACTGACCAGCTGGATCAGAAACTTGACATTCCTTTTGGGAGAGGACAGTTGTCAAGGCATAATTGGATAGGCCCCAAAAGGGAATTAATTCACAATAGGATTTCCATTTGGTAATTTGAACCTAGGCAACTAAACAGTCTTCAAATTAACACTAAAACCTCACCCCGCATATTCCTTTTCATTATGTAGTTGTCCTTTGGGTCGAAAAGGCCTCCCTAGGGAGAAATTTGCAGCTTTTAGGACAAATGTTCCTTAAAAGCCCTTGAATGGTCAATATGTTCCCTTCTTTCCAATGATCTTTTGCTCTGCTGTTCTTCCAGCAGCATAGGCTCAACCTCCTCTGGTGTAAAGTAGCTTCTTGGTGCTCAACAAAAGAGCCTCTATATATGAGAAGCTCTTTGTTTTCTTTCTAATTAGGGGAAAAATATCCCTCTAGTGTTTACAGATTAACCCTACCTCTTTTTTTCTGATTTAAAGAATCACAGAAAAACCTCAAGTATAAAGTTGGGACACAGTGATGGCTCTTCCACACATTGTTCAGCTTCTTTTATAGGGTGTGAAAGAAAGAGGGGTTGCTTGGGAAATGGGGTTGAAAGTTGAGGGAAGCACGCTGTCTCCAGGTAGAAGAAAGTCTAATCAGGAGCTCTGTATTTTTTCCTGCCTTCCATCACACTGTAGCAGTCTCTAAATTGCCTCTTGAATACATGAGCAAATCAAAGGTGAGTAAAGATAGTTATTGCGTGACAGCTACTTAGGCTCACAGGCTCTGTCACCTTAGGGAGTTGAATTACCTGTTTAAAATAATTACAAAGACATATTGCAAAGTATACTTTACCCAGTGTTCCTTGTTTGTTCGTCTGATTAAGGCATCAGTCCTCATTCCCCAGAGCTACCTGCTTTTCTTCCTTTTTTAATAAGATGTTTTTCTGATGCTTCAGCACAATTAACCATGGCCACATCTGTTGAATGCTTTCAGAGGGCTCAGAGTTGTAGATCATGTCCCGGATTCTCAAGACGGGCCTTGCCTTGTCCTGTTGGTATTTAAATGACTGATTATTCGTAATTATTCAGTGCCAGTAATAATAGTAATGGCTGCATACTCCTACTGTTAAAGTGAGAAGATTCAAATGCAAAGAGACTGGCCTCAAGTCTATAAGACATAATGCCGGAGGAAGTTTGTTTCCTTTCGATTTTCTTCCTGTTGGGAAGAAGTTATAATGGCAGCTCCAGTGCTAGTATACTATGTTTGGAGGCAGCAGTGGGAAGATTGTGGATTTCGCCAATCAAAGTCTTCTTAATATACCCACGATACTACTATGTATTTGTGTCTTTGACCTATATTGGCAGGAGTTCCTCTGAAGCCAAGGTACTGACCAAAGTAGCCAGGCTGGGCAATCTGTATTGTGTTTTGTTAATGCACAAGGAAGCAAGCCCTGAAAAGTTCCTCCATATCAAAGCCCCATTTGAAGAAAGGAGCCTGATTTGTGGAGGTTTATCCACAGTTAGCCACATAGCAAAAGTTCAGGATAGAAGATAATATTTGTAGCTTAAAGTTGAACCGTGGGGCCCTTGGTGCCCTCAGAGCTTGGTTATTTTCCTGCCGACATTTTGTGACCAAACTAGGTGACATCATCAGTGCGACACTGCCCTGCATCAGCGCTGATGATATCACCTAGTTTGGTCATGAAACGTCTGCAAGGAAGCAAACTCGGAGAGCACCAAGGATCCCACAGGAAAGGTTCAGTTATATATTTTTTTTATTTCACTTCATCCTGCTGATAAAGGTTCGTCTGATAAAAATTACATTCCTCTAATAAAATCATTAGTAGAATTTTCCTTTTTTTTATCTTTTTCAGGTTACCGAAGTGGTAATGATCTATGACGCAGAGAAACAGCGACCCCGAGGTAAAGAAGAATCTAGTTAACCTTTGAAATTTCTTTATCCTCTTCCTGTGTCAGATGGCAAACTTACACAACATCCACATATATATGTATGGACATGTGTGCTCATATATGTATATATGTCTTTTGCAAGCTGCCTCGGGAATTTATTTCACTGAGCAGACTTTCACAGAGGCTTTTCATGCTATTTCATCCTGTATTATGTTTTTTGAAGTCAGATACCACATTGCCATGTTGTTCACTTATACCAGTCTGAAAAGGTGTTTTCCTTAACAAAGGCATGGCACCTGTGTTGATCGGCTCCTTTCAAATAACTGAGCACAAAGCCATGAGACGGAGTAACTGGATACCTTTGATTTTTCCACCTTTAAAAGTAGGCACCATTAGAACCAAGGGCCTATTTTTGGTTTTAGGACAGGAATTATTGTGAGGTGCCAGACTGGAACAGATGTTATGCTTGCTACATTTCTCACATTTTCTTTTCTTTAAGTGGCTACAGCTGAAATTTGGAGCCAAAAGCCATTTGTTGCTTGAAACATTCTGTGGATGGGAATAAATGTGGCAACTTTTAATTTTATGATGCCGCTTGTATGTTGGAAAAAGCAACTTCCTTAGTTTGGCAGACCTGAGCCACTTAACCTAATTCGTTTTTGGTCCCAGCAGAAAGTGGCCGTTGTGTTCCCCAGCTGTTCATCCCACTAGTCAACTTTCAGTAATTTTTTTTTTTTAAGAAGCAATACTTTTAAAACATCATCAGTGTGAGTTGCATTTCAACCACACAATAGCATGTGAAACATGCTGGAAAATAGTTTGCCATCTGGACTTTCCACTTCTCCTTCTTGTTTCTGTTATTTAAAGAAATACATATATATATATATATATAATATATAAATTCTTCACTTCATATTTATTAAGTGTTAAGTATTAGTTTTATCTTTAATTTAGACACATCTTTAGTGACATATATAAGTGTTTCATAGTAAAAGTACAGTAAACATTAAGTTCTTTCTTTCCCTCTCTTTTCTCTCTCTCTGTAAACTGATTTTTGATTAATATCTCTTTAGATTTCTTCTCTCTAGGTGATAGATTATCACAGAGGTACAGGCCATTTCCACAAACGGAGGAGGGACCGGGCTTTGTCTTTAATGGAGTGTAAATAAAAGTTTTTACTATATGGTGTGGGAGGAGCTACGAGGGGCAGTTGCTCTAATTTGTTTTGTGACAGCTTTGCACTATTTCAACAGAAAAATTCACCGACACAGCAAAGAGCAGCATCTTTATGTACATACCTCTGTGTGTACTTACATACTTAAGCTAGTAGAAGAAATCAACTATAGGAATTCTGCCTATCCAGTCCGTCATTTTGTTCCCCCATTGCAAAAACAAAACAAAACCCCGACATAGGAATCTTGGAAGCAAGGCACATGAGCAAAGGATCTTGTTATCTTTTGCATCAGTCCACCCCATATTCAGTAAATAAAATGTAAACCTAACGTATTTCTGATGGATGGCCCTGAAAGTCTTGACCTGCCCACATACTATCACAGAAATACTTTTAATTGACCTATAAAGCCCTTTATAAAACACCTGCTGTCTAATCGTCCGTTCTTTCCCTTTTCTAAGCTGCAAACCTACATTGCCAAATGTGCTGCTCCTCCAAAAGACTTTGAGCTGGAGGAAATTGGTCCACTTGACAGCAGCTCTCCGTGTGGGCACAATATTGTAACCTCTTGAGGATTGCCAAAGAGGGGTAGGGCCACTAAAATGCTGCCTTTGCAACTTGGCTTACTTTGTTCAGTGTTCAGCTAGTTCTTCAATGTTCATCTACAGTTCAATAGTTCAATCTTACATTCCAGGTACAAGCAAACTCCTTTGAGCATGTAGCTTACAGTACCTGCTTCTACCTGTACTTACTGTTCCCATTATGGTCTTATGCCTCTTCTCCTTTAAATAAGTGTGATCAGCAAAATCAGACAGCAGGCCAGTAAAACGAATATATTTGGCACTATGATAACCCACAAAGGCTGCCTATAAGATTGCTAGGAGAACTTCTTTATTTCCAAGTAAAACTCTTAAGCCTATTTTAAAAAGATCCTATGTTTCTTGTTTTTTTTTTTCAACAGTTGTCTGAATCTTACATGCCCTCTTGCTTTTAATTATGCGTTTGTTCATTAGCGAAATCAGCCAGTGGGTTCAAGTCCGAGCTGTAATGCTTAAAACACAATTCTTCTCCAAGACTAATAACCTTCCCAATTGGGTTGCACTAAGTCTGGTTGCAAGACCTGTGGGTGAACAGCTAAGTTGCTTGAAGCAATAAAGTCATCTCAAAATAAGAATGGCTCTCTAGTCCTGGAATACAGCATTGTCACCCTCATAAATCAGTTTTATGAACCTGACATTTAATATGTCTTTACATGAGATTTTGTTTCCAAAATCTGAATAATCAAGCTGAAAAAATAGCCAGGTTAATTGTGTTATTAGAGAGAATATAGATAATTTACCCAGCATATTGAAGTTTTTTTTAATCAGTGTGAGAATTGCATATACCGTAGTTAAAAGAAATTTAATTATGCCTAAACACAGTTGTCAATCAAGCTAAAAAGCCTAATCTCCTTTGAATTACATCAACTTGGAGTTGGCTTTACAGACCTTGTATCTTGCAGAATTCCGCTCTCTCTTTTTTAATCTCCTCTCTCAGAGAAATGTGCAATTTGGTTCTGGGTATTCAAAGAGCATGCATACATTGACTGGACCCATCATCTCCATCTCATCTGAGCTGTTGAGGAACCAGATGGACTTTCCTTGCCTCAAGTGTCATCATTGGACAGTTGGACCAAATTGAAAAGAGGCAGAGAATATCTCTCCATTGAAGTACCTGGCTGATTATAGCATGGACAGGCAACCTGGTGCCCTCCAGTTAGAATTCCCCTATGCTGTTACCAAGATAACAAGTTGCGATCAAATATTTAGGTTCTTAACGACCAAAACATCTGGTTGGCATGACTTTGCCTATATGGGTCTCGCAACAATTTGAAGGATGCTATATTCTTCTTGGACTCTAATCTTGGGAACAGATTGTTTTTAGGATGTGAGAAAAAAAATGCCTTTGTTCCTTTTTCTCTTTCCCCCTAGACCAGGGGTAGGCAACCTTGGCTCTTTTATGACTCGTGGACTTCAACTCCCAGAATTCCTAAGCTGGCATGGCTCAGCTTGGAAACCTCTCAATTTCCCCTCAGTATGGCTGGCTCAGGAATTCTGGGAGTTGAAGTCCACGAGTCATAAAAGAGCCAAGGTTGCCTACCCCTGCCCTAGACTTTGCTATGAAGAATCAATAAAAACTTCCAGGAAAGAAATTAAGGCATATATTCTCAGTGTTCCTTTTTTTTTTTTATCCATTTTGCTCTTGGTCAGAGTCCAACTCCACCTCTCTTAATGTATTTAAATCTTCACAATCAGGTTCAGAATCCTATCATCTTCAGATCATTTCATCAATATTCTTCTTTCCAATTTCTAAAGGTATTTTCAAGGAGCGCATCTCTCTTTACCTCGCTCTGAATATGAAGTGCAGTGCAGTGCACCATTTGTTCATCCAGCCTCTGTTTACTCTATTTGGTTCTGGAGGTTGTTCCCCTTCACTTCGCAAACTTGTCTATGATGACATCTCTGCCCAAAGCACCCAAGTGCCATCTCTACTTTTGACCATCCCATAAACACAGTCATCAAGTCTGGCTCCAGTTCTTCAGGCGTTGCTGTGTCTTTCTCTCCTGCTGCTGCAGTCCTGTTTTTTCTTAGTTTGGTTCCAAGGCCTTTTTCTTTTCACCTAACCCCAAGCCAGGAAAACAACACACTATTCTATGTTTAAAATCAATATATTTAAATCTTTTATATTGTGTGTCATTGGGATGCAGAAAAGCCCCTTTTTGCAGTTTTTTTTTTAAAAAATACCTCCCAGACTCCTATTTTGGCTTTTAAAACAATTCCTTGCTCTTTAAAGGCTCGCACGTACGTCACTGGCTCAGCTCCCATTTGGCCACAATGCAAACACTTGCCTGCAGGAGATGCTTTAAAAGTTGCCTCCTCCACCTCCCCAAATCCCATTTATTTCTTAATTTGTGTCTTGCTCTTGTTGCTGGCAGCAGAATTTTGACCTGCTGCGACCGATCTTGGCCTGTATCTTTGTGTCTTATTAAGTATAAATCTCTACAATAAGGCTCTGCGAGCTTACCCAACCACGTTGGATAAGCTTAGAGAGACACTAACTGTTACAGAGACTGTATCTGTTTTTCTGTTGAACGCTTTAGAGCAATAAATGGCTGCTGTCAGCACTAGCTGCAAAGCAAAATGAAACCAAGGGGGAAATCTCAGGTTTCGGGGAGGAGGGAGGGAACCAATAAGACAACCTGTCCCAAAATGTTTTTGCCCAGTACCATCCTCTCGTTTTCACTTTTATGCTATTGCTCAGTGGCTTTCCAGATTTGCCAGATGGCATTTAAACAAAATTATGAATATCGTGTAATGGAGGTTTTATGAATTGACTTGGCCTTAGTAACTTGATGCAGGTGTTCTGCACAGAACTAAGTTGGATTTTTTTTTTCAGCATTTGTTAGTAGGGCAAAAAAAAAAAGGGGGGGTGTTTGTGGGCACTAAGCCATGTTTTCTGCCTCAGTAAATTTTGCATGGAATGCTGAGCTAACCACTTTATTCCCCTGATCCAAGATGGTCTGGTAATTGCAAGCTAGCACTGAGCTCCCCGCAGCCCAAGCCCACCTGAAGCCCTGGTTTGAACCCTTGGTCCGCCCCTAATACTGTTCATCATCCTGTTTTGTGTCACAACACCCTGCTACCTTGATTCACTCTTCGTCGTTGGCTAGGTTTTGGATTTATTACTTTCGAGGACGAACAATCAGTGGACCAGGCTGTCAACATGCATTTTCACGACATCATGGGCAAAAAAGTGTGTAGTTGTAGTTTTATTTTACCTTAAGACAAAGCTGAGTCTTGAGGCAACTAGCAATTTGGCTGGCGAATGGAAACTGGGTGGCAGAGTAGAGGGGATTAAAAAAATAATAATAATTTGGGTAAAACCACATTCAGAAACTCATTTTATAAGCTACTTCATTTTGTGTGCTTCAGCTGCCTATAGATTCTTTTGGAATGTTTTGTTTAAGAAGAATCATGGCAGACCAACTTCCATAAAAGCTAATATTTGAGTTCAAGCGTCCAATAAACCAGGGTTTATGGGTCAGAAAAAAAGTTCTATCTACTGATTCGCTTTTCTCTTGCATCTTCACACGGGATTTCCAGGGTTCATATCAAGCTGTGTGTGAGAGAGAACAAGCCAAATATGCAGCTAAATGGCTTATTGAATTGAAATTACCTCATTTGATCTGACCCAGCTTGCCCATCATACCATGCAATGCCAATAAAGGAGAATATTTGTAGCTCAGTATTGAAATTGGGGGGGGGGTCTTTGGTGCTCTCTGAGCTTGGTTGTTTTCTTGCAGACGTTTCATTGCTCAAACTAGGTAACCTCATCAGTGCTGGCAGGTTACCTAGTTTGAGCAATGAAACGTCTGCAAGAAAACAACCAAGCTCGGAGAGCATCAAAGACCCCTCATATCACGCAGGGCTTAGGGTTACATATTCTTCATTCCCAAGTACAGAATAGGAAGGAAATACTGAAAAACAGACATGCTTTGTCTGTTTGAGGTAAACACTTTGAATAAATTGACGTGAGAAAAGCTATGTGTCTGTAAACTTTTATTTTAATAGGTAAGAGCATTCTATTGAGTTACAGAATGCACTAGTTTTGGAGTCCTAATATGTTGGAGGCCATTGCGCTTGCTTGTCTAAATTCTAAGTTGTACCGTCATTACTGTTCACACATATTTTGTACCTTGAAAACTACAGAGTACAAAAAAGGGAATGGAAGTCAACCTTTATTTTCTGTTTGAAACGGCAGTGAAATCTCTATGTTGCCAAAGGCTCAGCTTCCCATTACTATTCCTTCAGATGTGTGTTCTTTGCTTCACATTCAAACTTGGGGTGGAGGGATTCAGGGGTGGGGAAGAGGAAGGGGGACTAAACTTAAGCAACCAACTGACAGAGCATCGTGAAGGAATGGTTGAAATTTAAAAAAAAAAAATGGGTCACTTACTGTGGGGCTTTGAAATGAATCCACATATTCTTTTAATAGTACTTTTTAACCACAATGCAGTTAAGTGACCTTTTGATTGTTGTTATCTTCATACTGTGTTGTCAGCACTTCTAAGAGGTTTGAAGGGTGAAAAGGTTTCTGCCTTCTCACTCTGATTGAAGGAACTCGCCTTTGAGCATGGCTTCGCTTTAGGAACCAAGCCAAAGGAAGAGTAACTAAGAAGTACAAGAGTGCAGCTTTGAGCTTTGTAGGAAAAGTCTGCTGAAAAGGGAACATCGAAGGCCCTTATACCAAACATAAATTATAAGCTGCTCAAAGTCTCCAGAAATGAAGCAGCAGCACATAGGTTGCAGTGATAAATATATGAAGCGCTTGCCGTTTTGCTGGATTGTGTCACCCAAACGACAAAGCCTTCAACTGGAATAGCTTTTCGGAAAATATTTCCTTATTGAAAAGCAGGGTATCCTATCCTCTTGATGCATTCTGGTTTGTGTTTTACAGCTATTGGATGATTTTTTTTTTCAAGTTTAAATTATTTCTTGTCAAAACCCATGAAATTTTTCTGGACCCTGGAAGCGTATTCTAGGATATGCTCGCTAATGCACGAGCAATCGATGCCATTTAAACAATTAGTGAAGTTTATTCCTAAGCAAGACCTGGAACTACTACTTCTTTGGTTTGGTGCTAATTAAATCCAGGAGTTGCTAACACTGGTCCGGTGAAGCCAGTAGAGCAGGGGTCCCCAACCCCCCCCCCGGTCCGTGGACCGGCACCGGTCCGCAGCATGTCAGCAAGCGGGCCGCACAAACAAGCAAAGCTCCATCCTCGGGATGCAGACAGTATTCAAAACCACCACCAGCCTCTGGTCAGTGGGAAAAACCTTTCTTCATGGCACTGGTCCCTGCTGCCCAAAAGGTTTGGGACCTCTTCAGTAGGACAACTCTTCAAAATGTCAGAGCAGCTCAGGCAAACCTCCAGGGCCTCCTGGACCAGTTTCAAAAGTGGCATCCTTCGTGGTCCCTCCTGGAGAAGCATCCTTACAAACTGGAGACAAAATCTCAAGTGGACCAGACCAAAGCGCAGGGACAGAGATTTAAGAGTGCATGCTAAACAAAGCAAAATAAAGTTCAGATGTCAAGGTTTTTGTTGGCTAGCGAAATGCAAATTGCTGACTTCTTGAGAAATCCCACCCTATTTTCCTCAGCCTTGAAACATTATTGGGGAAACTGCAGGACTTCAAATGTCCTAAAATCTTACTGGGAAATTTTTTTAGAATAATAAGCCATCTACAGGTAGTCGTCGACTTACGACCACAATTGAGCCCAAAACTCCTGTTGCTAAGCAAGACAGTTAAGTGAATTTTGCTCTATTTTACAATCTTTCTTGCCACAGTTGTTAAGTGAATCACTGCAACTGCTAAATTAGTAATATGCTTGTTAAGTGAATCTGGTTTTCCCTCTGTTTGTGAGAGGGTCGCAAATGTTGATCACAACCATCATATGAGTCAGTTACCAAGTGTCTGAATTTTGATCACGTGACCATGGGGATGCTACAACAGTTGTAAATGTGAAAAATGGTCCTAAGTCACTTTTTTTCACTGCTGTTGTAATTTTGAACAGTCACTAAGTGAACTGTTCTAAGTTGAAAACTCGTGAAAGCCAGTACCCTGCCCCACCTTCTTATACAGATGGTAACCAATCTGTTTTTGGAATATTAAACCATGGGAAGATTCAGGGCATTTGAAGGCAGGATTGATCTGCTCAGCATAGAAGAAGCACAGTCTAGAACACTAGACATGGTTTTATTTTAATTCTGCCGTTCATGGGCCAGGTTAATTCACAAGAGAATGTGATGGATTCTTGACTGTCTCCCCACAATAAGGCCCACTTAGCTTTAAGGAAGGCCCTGTGCCCATTTACCTAAACTCTTTGAAAGTAAAAATGCTTGAAATGTAGCTAGAGAGAACCAGGACTCTTAAGCCTGCTCTGTTTTCAGGTTCACTCATTGATGCAGAGCTAAATTCCTCCCATTAAATCTTGCAATTAGCTTTGTTGAGTGTGTTTGGATTAACCCCAGACAATTCTTCAGGACCTTTGCATTCAGCAAGGAAGTCATTTTATTTTACATAGGCCAAGCCCATTTTTAAGGCCCCACCGCACACGGGGTACCTTCCTTTTGGTCTTTCCTCCCCTTCTTTGCAAAGAATGTTTTTCCCATGACTGAACACAGTATGAAGGTTTTGCTTCTTATTGACTCAACTGTCCATTTTTTATTACCTGCATGTTTGTTTACTTTTTTTGTTAGATGTAATGTAAGGTTCTCTTATCACATCCATTCCTTCTGACATTGTTTGAGTTAATTGAGGTTCTTTAAGCGTTAGCCTGGGGAAGGTAAGTCTCTATCTTCCATTAGACTTTTAAATAATAATAATAATAAAAAAAAATCTTAAGATAAAAAGGATTTGAAACCAACAGACAAAATGAATACCATGTGTGTTTCTCAGGTATGACCAAAACTGAACAGCAATTTAATTGCGATAGATCTTAGCTATCAATTTAACTTCTTTTTTTCAACATTGTCCAGAACAATCCCTCCCCAAGGCCTGGCTAAAGCCTTAGTACCTCCTCCATAATGTTCTCTTCACCCTTGTTTATAACAACCGTTTTTGGCCTATCTTACTATCAAGATTTACATATGGAGAGTGAAAGCCCACTGAGGAGATGGTACTGCTGCTTTAAAATGAAAGTAAACAGAAGAGAAATCACGAATAGGCATAATTTATCCTAGCACTGTATGAAGTTAAGAATGGCTTACTCTTGTTATCCATTGTACCTGAGAAACATTGATTTAAATTAGCAGCCTTAAAATATAAGCTTGCAATACTTTTAAGTACTTAGCAATAAGTCATAACATGCTAAGATAAAGTTTTAAAGTGTAAAAGATAAGGGTGTGTGTGATGGGTAAAGGGGGGCAAGCTGTCTTTCTGCCTCCTAGGTCTGAACATTTGTCCCCTTTGTTTAGGTGGAGGTGAAGCGGGCCGAACCTCGTGATAGTAAGAGCCAGACTCCAGGGCCAACAGGCACCAGCCAATGGGGAAGCCGGATCATGCCAAGTGCTGCCAATGGCTGGGCAGGACAGCCCCCACCTACCTGGCAACAAGGATACGGACCTCAAGGTACCAGTTTTCCATTTGGTTTGGGGATGCTTAATGACTTCAGTCTGCCTTGACCTAGGCCCATTTGTGGGTTCACTCAAATCAGGATCAGGCTTACTTGAGGCCAGGCCCTGAATAACAATCTTGACGTTCCTGTCAGGATTATATATATGGTTTCTTGTACCACTTGATTATGCTATAATGCAAGACTTCTGTGATACTGGTGGGCAGCACAGATTCCTTACGGAGTATAGAAAGTCCTTGATTTATGTCTAATCACTTAGCAAGCATTTGAATTCACAACAGATCAGAAAATGGAGACTTGTGGCCCGGATCTGAAATTCGTACAGTGGGGCCCACTCCAGGGTCACATGACTGAACTTCAGGTGCCCAACAACACAGCCACATTTACAGTTTGCAGCATTCTAAGGTCACATTTGTGAGAGTTTTGCTGAAAATCATTTTGCTTAATCATTGGTTTGCTTAATGACTGTTGCATAAAATGTTATAAAATTAGATTGGTCATGTGACTGACCCACATTATGACCATCACAGCATACAACTGTAGTGGGCAAACTCCCATGTTGAGAACTATGTGTATTGGAAAACTTATGCCGCTGGTGTGAGACCCTACCAAGCTCTGCCTTTTCATTTGTTCCAAGGAAATTAAATCTTACTTTCTGAAAATGGACATCAGCCTATAAAATAGAGTCTCTCTCTTTAAATTTTGCACGAGGTGGGAAGCTTAAATCCCATTTTTATCCAAATCCAGTTTCATTACTCCATTGTGGACTTCTTAGTTTTGGGCATCTCCATTAAGGCTGCATCTTGGATTCCTGTAACATTTTCACCACTTTGATGTCCAAACATCTTCAGTGTAATTGTGTGTAATATTAGTAACTTTCCTAATAGAGAGTGTTAAACTTTGCAGAATGATAAAGTTTAATGAATTGATGAAACAGTTGTGGTAACTTGTTCTTGTTGTGTGTGTGTGTGTGTGTGTGTCATGTCTTTTCCTACTTCTCCTCCGTCTGCCTCAGGTATGTGGGTACCAGCTGGACAAGCACTTGGTAAGTATGTTCTGAGAGTTTTAAAAATGTGCATAGTCAGTATTGAAATTGTAATTATTCAGGTTCGGAGTTTTAGCAAAATCTTAACTCTGTGTGCATTTTTTGCCTTTGTTCTCCAATGATCTTTTTGAATCTGTTGTTTTGAAGCATTTGGGCCCTTTGAACAAGAATTCATAAGTTTCTTGAGCTGGGAGACAATCATTGTACCTTAGAACTTCTCATAGATAATCAAAGCTTGCGTGAGTGTGTTTGTATGTGTGTACATTTAATCATTTGTCAGATACTGGGAAGATCTGGAGGAGACAGGTAATCAATCACCCTTTCCTAGGTGGCCTAGTCCAGGGGTAGGCAACTTTGGCTCTTTTATGACTCATGGACTTCAACTCCCAGAATTCCTGAGCCAGCATAGCCAGCTTGGAAACCTCTCCCTTTCCCCTCAGCATAGCTGGCTCAGGAATTCTGGGAGTTGAAGTCCACGAGTCATAAAAGAGCCAAGGTTGCCTACCCCTGGACTAGTCCTTTTTTTCCCCACACGGTCTGTTTGTGCACAAAGAGGCTGTTCTTCAAATATCAAAAAAAGAAGATAGAATTGAGTATGGCCCTGTGAAAAACAGCTTAAACATCACAGTAGCCCTGCATAGAAGTTGTTCCATGTATGGAGAAAGAAACGGGATAATAGAGACTAATCTTACCCCGGTTTCCTTATGCACGGGGTTGGTGCACTGATATATTTTGTACTTAGAAATAAAATCTCCAGTTGCAGATTCTCCATGTGTAGGCTGTAATTCATCTCCACATAATTAGATTACTGGAATGCGCTCTACATGGGGCTGCCTTTGAAAATGACCTGGAAACTACCATTGGTACAAAATTCAGTGGCCAGGATGCTAGCAGGTGCGAGTCCCTACTGCAATAGAATTCCTCTGCTCCAGTTGCTCCCTTTGGTTACCACTACATCTCTGATACAAATTGCTGCATGGCTGCAAAGCCCCGCATGGCGTGGCCGCTAGATGCCTGCCGGAGGAAGCGGAATCTGCCCTAGCCCAGGTGTGCATGTGGGATGGGAAAGTTTAGGGCCCCGTCCCTGCATTAAATCAGGGGGATATAATACCAAGATATGATATTGATACTCCTCCTCTGTAGCAATTCCCAAGCTTTAGATCAAGCTGCTTTGGATCAAGCTGCTTTCGGAGCTACACCTTGCACCCTTCCTGTAGCTATTTCACAAGGCATCAAGACCATGAGAGCCAGTTTGGTCTAGTGGTTAAGGCTCTAGGCTAGAAGCCAAGAGACTGTGAGTTCTAGTCCCGCTTTAGGCATGAAAGTTGGCTGGGTGACTTTGGGCCAGGCACTCTCTCAGCCCAACACACCTCACAGGGTGGTTGCTGTGGGGATAACAGGAGGAAGAAAGAGCACTAGGTATGTTTGCCACCTTGAGGTATTTATAAAAAATAATAATAAAGGCAAGATAAATAAATATTGCTTAACTGGCCATTTGGTGTATGATTTGTCTTGACACATAATGGATAGACTGCTGTGTTATTGTTATTTATGTTTATTGCTGATTTTAGGCTTAACTAATTTCTGTATTTTTAATCTTAGTATAACAGACCAGTTCATATGAGCTTGATGGTAGATTAGCGGGGTAAAATAATTAAGAATTGAATAATTAAGAATTGCCTTTTGTTCTGGCGAGCCCTGTTTCCAACCTGAAGTTGGATATGACCTTCACACATTTTTTTTCTCCATTTTCAAAGCAAATAGAATTGTATCTGTGGCAGTTTTTAAAAATGGAGGCATTCTTTATCTAAGGTTGCTTTTTAAAAAAATAGTTTAAAAAGGAGTGTGGCGGACCATTTGGTGATCTGGCATTTGGAATGTTCTGGAAATCATTGGAATGATCTTTTACCAGACTACAAATTTTTGACTGCAGTTACCTTTGAGGTATCAGAGTGACCTGTTACCTGTTTTCAAAGAGCTGAACTGCATGTAATCAACTGTGATTAAAGCTACAGAAGAGAATTGGGGTCCTCATGAAATATTTTGTGAGAATACCTGGTGCCCATTGAACTCCTGGATACCAAAAAGCCAGAAGAGATTTCTCCCCACAGTAGATCATTCTGGCTTCTTCGGTATTGAAAAACACCAAACATTTGAGTGTCTGGTTTCTTCAGTTTGAATGTAAGAAATGGCAGTTGGAGAGAGACCATTTTAAATACTAAAATGTACTAGAACAGAGGTCCCCAATCTTTTGGGCACCAGGGACCTGTTCTGTGGAGAAAGGTTTTTCCACAGACCAGAGAGTGTGTGGTTTTGTGTGCTGCCTGCATCCCACAGATGAGGCTTTGCTTGTTTGTGCAGACCGGTTGCTGGCATGCCGCAGCCCGGTACCAATCCACGGACCTGGGGTTGGGGACCCTTGTACTAGAATGCAAGTGCTGCAGAACCAATTCCTAAGAAAGAAATCTTCATGCAGAAGCTAGTTATTCATGTCAGAAAATGATTTAAAATGGATTCTTTCCACAGTCTCAGTAGTTCAAATGCCTAATTCCACAGTTCCTCTTGACTTTAGCGCCTCCAGGTTTTGGAGAAATATGATGCCTAGTGCAATAGATTGGGAACACCCTTTTTGTTGGGGTTGGCTCATCTGTTAAATGCCTTTGATTTTCTCAACACACTTCTTACTGGCTCCAGGTGGGTATGGTCCCCCTCCACCAGGTAGAGGAGCGCCACCTCCACCGCCGCCTTTTACCTCGTACATTGTTTCGACACCTCCAGGAGGATTCCCACCCCCACAGGGTTTCGCACAGAGCTATGGCACCCCTCCACCTTTCAGTAAGTACTGCTTCCAGCTATACTTGTGTGTGACATTTTTAATCCCAGCTTTTAAAAAAGAGCTCATGGCACATATTTGGCACACCCCTAATTGTGAGGTAGGATAGGCTGAGAGTATGCAGACGTTGTGGGTATTTCATCACTCGAGGTTTTTAAGAAGAGACTGGGCAGTCACTTGTCTGAAATAATATAGGGGCTCCTGCTTGAGCAGGGGGCTGGATTAGAAGACCTCCAAGGTCCCTTCCAGCTCTATTCTGATTGATTGATTGATTGATTGATTGATTGATTGATTGAATTGAATTGAACCAGGCTTGGACTTGAGCCTAAGGCTTCATGTTTTAGACCAGTGGTGGCGAACCTATGGCACGTGTGCTAGAGGTGGCACTCGGAGTCTTCTCTGTGGGCACACACACTGTCGCCCCAGCCCTGCCTCCTCCCACGGCCCCCTCCTCACCAGCAGCCTCCCGGAGGAGAGTTGCCCTGGGGCATGGCTCACGCAAAGCAGCACAGCCAAGGACATGATAGCCGGGCAGTGGGGACTCCGCCCTTGCACCGCGTCGCGTCAAGTGATCTGTGGTGGGCCATGAAAATGGTGGGTGACCCAGTGGGCACGGTGGAACGTGGACGAGTGGGGGGCGGTTTTGGGGCACTCGGTCTCTAAAAGGTTCACCATCACTGGTTTTAGACTGATTCTATGTCCACTCACTGCAAATTCTATCAAACATTCTTTTCCTAGCTTTATTTCTTGATTTTAATTTGATGAGCAGTGTCATAGCCTAGAGGTGGAGCTGTCACCTCACAATCAGGAAGCTGTGAGTTCAATTCTAGGTAGCAACAGATATATATATATATATCTCTGAGCCCAAAAATAAAATATTTGCTGTGAACTCTGTGTAGGCGTCAGGAAGGGCATCCTGCCAGTAAACTCTCAGCTCCATTCAGTCGCCCTGATTCCACCTTGATGCAAGGAATTACAGAAAAAAAAAATCCGTGATTTTAATATGAGGGTTGGTGTCTTTCTATATATATATATATATATATTGCCAGATGGCATTTCCCTTTGTTTCCCTGGCATTTACTTCAAGTCAGTAAAAGTGGAGAACTTTTAACGTGAGCTTTACGGTAAAAACGTACCTGGTTTCTGTTCCTCTCTTTAGGCTTTGGGTATGGTGCCCCACCTCCTCCACCTGAGCAGTTTGCTCCTGCCGGTGTTCCTCCACCGCCTGCCACCCCTGGGGCAACACCACTCGCTTTCCCTCCGCCTCCCCCACCATCTCAGCCAACTCAGGACATGAACAAGCCTCCAGCTGCCCAACCAGATTTCCCCTATACCCAGTTTGGTAAGTGACTGTTACAAGAGCTGGGGCTCTTCCTCCAGGCCCCAGCTTTTCGCTGCTGCTTGTCTTTCTTTCTGCTACCTTTCATTTTGTTTGTAGTAATATTGCTGGAAAATAGAATTAGGGGGCTGTATGTGCGTCACGTTGGCAAAGGATCTCCATATACCTTTTGTCACTGTGATATGCCAATTTTGAAAGTTGGCCAGCTTTAGAAACTTTAGCATCATCGTTTGTCAAGGTAAATGATCTCTGGGACTAGTAGAGAATAATATTTGCGATTTAAAGTTGTAGCTATTGTTGCTGCCTTGAGGAATAGTGGTCTAGTACGGTGGCAGAATAACAGAGTTGGAAGGGACCTTGGAGGTCTTCTAGTCCAACCTCCTGCGCAGGTCCAGCGGCAGTGGTTTTGAATCTAGGCCAATGTGAATTTGTCTCTTAAGTAACAAGTTCCATCTTTCCTGGCTGGCCTAAGGGGTACTTTAAAAATCATCAGCAAGAAATTGAGTTTGGAAAAAATAAGTTGTACAGTGCATAAGTATATAATTGTTTATGGAAATGTTTAGCTGCAAAATTGTATTTTGTATACACGAATACACAATCTTTTCAGGAAGATACTTGCAATGTTCAACAGTCAAAACTGGATGAAGCTATAGATGTTATATTTTGAATTAATATTCTTGTTTAGTAACCTGAGCACTGTTTTTTAGTTGATTAATTCTAACAAGTCCTAATATTTTAACAGATATTCCATAAAGATTCTTCTCTTGCCTTCTTAGAACCAGGCCGACTTCCTTCTGGGATTGCAGGGATTCCATCTACTTACGAAAAAAAAAATCCACCCATCTAGCAGAGATTATTTTATAATAAAGGCTAAGGCTATGTTAGAAGCAAGATACACATAGTCCTCGATTTACGACAGCATTTGGGACCAGAATTTCTGTTGCTAAGCAATGCAGTCATAAAGTGCAGTCACTTAGCAACAGCAATCCCTGCAGTCCCAGTTGCCATCATTAACTGAATCCCACAGTTGTCAGGTGAGGCAATTTCCTGATGGTTTCTCACAACCAAGTCAGTGGAGAAGCCAGCAGGAATTTGCAAGTCCCAGGTGGCTTGTAGGCAGGTAAATAGATGCTGAGTTGGGAAGAGTTGTCAGGGGGTACATAAAGTGAGGGTGCACAGGGATGTGTGAGGTATGGTGAGGGTGCATGGAAGAGGGAAGGAGGGGCAGTGGGTTACAAGGTAGGTACAGCAAAGCTTGGGGAGCAGAATGGGACAACTCTCCACAGTCAACTCTTCATGGCCAACTTGCTTCGGCCAACTCACTTTGGGACAACTCACCGCAGAACAATTCCATAATTCAATTTAATTATTTAAAATGATTTTAAAAAATATTTCAATTTTTGTCATTCACATTTCATTTTGTTCCTTCTTTTGTATCCTTCCTTGAATGATTCAATTCCATCATTTCTTTGATATTAGTGTAACTCTTGTCCTTCGGCGTGTTGTCCCTTGACAAGTTGGCCATGGCAAATTGTCATAGACCCCTCAAGTGTTCAGGAGTGCAAAAGTACCAGGGGCAACCGCAGAAGGGCTGAGGAAGGGTGCATGTGTGGGGAAGACTTACCCCATTGTCTTGGTGAACTTCTCTGCCAGTGTCCCCATTGACTTTCTGGGGAGACCAGAAAGGGTCGCAAACAGTGATCCTGTGATCATGGGGTGCTACAGCTGTTTGTAAATACAATCTGGTTGCCAGGTGTCTAGATTGCAATCATGTAAGTGCAGGAGTGCTTGGACGATTGAAACGCAGAGGTCCTGTCATAACAACCATTCCTTTAGTGCCGTTATAATTTCAAACGGTCGCTGAACAAATAGTCGTAACTTGAGGACTATCTGTAAAGCTTTTATTAGCTGGCTGTGAAATATTCATCACTGTATCTCCATAGGTCAGCTAGTTACAGTTGAACTAATCCAGCCCTGAATGTAATTCCATTCCCCCCCCCCCCCCCCGCTATATAGTCTTGCAGTTTTACACACGCAGATCCTCCAGAGCTCATTTTCTTGATGAACCAGTTTTTCTTTCTTTGCCTTGATGACACAATTGAAAGACACGGTGCTCCCCATTTTTAGGTTTCTGGGGGAAATCAAGAAAACTCCTGCAATAATTGTCATTTTCTTCTTTTTTTTTTCTTCCTTAAGCATTCTTCCTGAATGTTATTTCCATATTCCTCAATATGGCATTTCTAGTATAAGGAGTCTTAAAATCTCCTTTAACTTTACCATAACATAGAAAACCATGTCATCCAAACCTCCGGTAATGCTCTTCCAATTCTAAAATTCTTTTATTTCTCAGCAAAACCTACTCTTTCACCTAAACTAAGTTGTAGGGTGCGAAATAAAATTTCGAATCAGGCAATCCCAGTCCTTTGCATCCTGAAGTAGTATTTCATATTTAATCCATTTTTCTCCTCTTGCCATACAAATTTAAAAATATCTTTCTGCCTTTGTTTAAATAGATATACTTTGGGGGAAAAAATCATCCTTAGCAAAATATTCACTCCAGTGACAATTTCTTCCACCTTAATATGTCCTTCTTAATTTTACTCCATCTCGTAACATAATTCTGATATAACATAAATTTCAGATTAGTCATAACGATAGCCAAGTTTTTCAATTTTTTCTCAATCTTAAAACCATCATTTTCCCCATCATTTCCATTTGCTTTTGGATGCTTATATTCATTAATATCTTCATCTTTTGTTCTAATTTTAATGATAGCTATTAAAGTTAAAAGAGTGTTATTGTGCTGTTTGAAGAGATTTTTCTTTTATCAGATGGCTTAAAAATCTTTTGACTTTGAGTAGAGGGAGGCAAAGATGAATGAATGTTTGGAATGAAAAAAAAGAAAAGATGAAGGAAGGAAGCATTCTTCATTTGAGCATTGTCTGGAAGTGCCTTATTGAAATTTGAAATTGTCTGCACATAACAGATGGTGCATGTGGAATTCCTATTTTGACATCTACTTTTATGTCAGATCAAAGCAGTAAAAATATACACTCCTTAAATATTCTACTGGGCAGATTCTTATATTAGGGAAATTATCTAGTGTTTTTCAGTTACATCAGGGGTCCCTAACCCTCGGTCTGTGGACCAGCAGTGGTCCACAGGCTGTTGGTAACCGGTCTACCCAAGCAGAGGGCGAGTGCACAAAGCTTCATTTGTGCCTGCATAGGACCTAAGTGCACATTCACAGGATCTAGGTGGCACGCATGAAATCACCCCCTCCCCCCACCAGTCCATGGAGCCAGTAAGGTTGGGAACCATTGAGTGACACTCAAGGAATATCGTTGAGGGGCAGATGCTAACTGAATAGTTTTGATAACCACACTTAATATCTCAAGTTACGTTGCATAATCCTTAGGTCATCCTTGCCAGAATTAAATTTAAGAGGACAGAATTTAAAAAAGTCAAGACTAAGGGAGCTGATATTTGTCATATTCTAACAAGTTCATATTAACACACAGCCACCCCTTTTATAACTTATGTGGAATACTTTCTTAATATTTTGACCTGAGTTTTGCATAAAATCTTATCCTCCGATTAAGTCACTTAATTTTTCAAGAGAGGAACCTGAGAGAATGAAAGACAGGGAGAAACATAGAGAGATTATGAGTCTCATTATATTCTTTAATATAACTCTGGTATACTTCCTCCAACCCAAAAAAAAATTATAGATCTCAGTATAGCAAAGTATTCTATGAAATATATATATCCAGAACTCGATAAGACCACTACCGAACTTAACAGCTCAGTAAAAGTTACGCATTTAAGACTAAATAATACTGTTTTTACAAAGTTCTTTTTCATGTATATGTCTCACAGATACTTAAGCAATATAACCAAGGGGTTTTTTTTCTTCCTGTTTTGCATGTTATCATTTAAAATACACAGCTGTTCTAAGATACTTGCAGTAGTGGGGGGGGGGTCTGTAGTTAATGGCTAAAAAAAAGACTCTGGCACTAGACCTTTCAGCACAAATCTCAAATGCAAGAGTGATGCTAAGCTTGCATTATGGGTAAGTCTTCCTTGCCACCTTTCCAAGAGAATTGTAGCTTTTGTGCAGGGCTCTCTTGGGGGTTTAGTCACCCTGGTTTCCATTTTTTACCAGGGCTGGGTACCTATTCTCAAGAACCTTCAGGCTTCGGGCCAATACTTTGTTTTCACACTTATGGTCAGGCTGAGAAGTGAGTTACCGTAGGTAGGTGGAGCCTATTTACACCAAATCCTCTTACTTGTAATCTCTTGTGGGGAAGGGGTGGGTGGGTGGGAGGACAGATTAACCTTTTTTTTTCATTGCAGGGGTGTAATCTCTTTCCATGTATGGAGAGGGTAAGGCATTCTTTCCCCTGAAGAATTCTTTCAAGGAGTCACTGATCTCACCCAAGCTTGTTTTGCTACCATAAATAGTTTGGATTACTTAACCTGATATCAAAAAATCTACTGTGTTTCACACAGTGTTGTGTGCACATCTGCTCTAGGGGTTTAGGTGTGGTAACAACCTCCCGCTCTTGTTATGTACCCTTTTGAAAATTGGCTAAAGAGGATTTTCTCTTGTGGGGGTGGGTGAAATATCGAGGTTTGTGGATGGAAGAGAACACCTCAATTTTTAGAAAAATGTTATTGATGATAATGAGTTGGGATCACAGATTTACCAATTTGGATGTGTGTGTGTGGAAGGAACAACCGTAGATAGACACTCACTCTTCCTACATTTAAGTTTGGTTGCAAGGGGGAAAAAAAAGTTCATTTAAAATAATTATGTGCTTTTACATGACCTGTAATAATCTCATCTTCATTTTGGGGCACAGTCCAGATTTTTTTTTTCTTAGAATAAACAAGTCCAGTTTAATGTGCAAGAAATTAATGATAAAAGTGCAGTGGAGAACCTGCATTTGATGTAGAGTTATGCGTCTCAGTAAATTAGGCTCATGGGTTTAGTACGAAATTTGCAAACCCGATTGAGCCAAAAACATGCTGAAGATGGAAAAAAAAATAGCAGAAGAGGGAGAAGTAATACGGGTAGTTTTTGACTTACAACAGTTCACTTAGTGATAGTTAGAAGTTACAACAGCCCTGAAAAAAGTGACTTATGACCATTTTGCACATTTATGACCATTGCAGCATCCCATGGTCATGTGATTTGCATTTGGATGCTTGTCAAGTGACATTTATGACAGTTGCAGTGTCCCCCGGGTCACGTGATCCCCTTTTGCGACCTGAGAAGGAAAGTCAATGGGGGAAGCCAGATTCACTTAACAACTGTGTTACTAATTTAAGAACTGCAGTGATTCACTTCACAACTGTGGCAAGAAAGGTGAAATGGGGCAAAATTTACTTAACAAATATCTCACTTAGCAACAGAAGCTTTGGGCTCCATTGTGGTTGTAAGTCAAGGACTACCTGTAATCATCAGAAATCGTTTTGCAAAAACCTAATCAGGTACTCTTAAGACTCTGACAAATTAAACTTTCATTTTAAAAGATTAAACTTTAATCTTTTCTTACCCTCTGGCAAAGTCAGTTACTCAAGACTCACATTACAGGGCCTGTTTGGTGCAGTAAAGCGATCAAGTTACAAATCAAGAGAGTTCTAAATCCTACCTTAGGTACAAGGACAGCTGGTTGACTTTGGTTGATCCTTTCAGCCCTAGCAGGAAGATGCAAGGAAAAAATCACTTCCCCAAAACCTTGCCAGGAAAAAAAAACCTTCAGGAATTTGTTCAGGCAGTCACCAGGAACCAAAAACTGATTTGAAGACACCCACAAGTGTGGGGGGGAGGGGGAAGTCTCACAATAACTAGCAGAAAAAAATTCTAGATACCTTTTTCATTGGCAATCATGCACTGAAAAAATGAGATTTTTCTAGAAATGGATACGTCTTCGACCTTACATTAAATATCAGGGATACCACAATCTATTAGTTTACCATTAGTAAATTGCCAATGCCTTAAACAAGAGGGTAGATTTTAGATCAGGGGTCTTCCAACTTGGCCCTTTTATGACTTGTGGACTTCAATTCTCAGAATTCCTCAGCCAAGCACGCTGGCTGAGGACTTCTGGGAGTCGAAGTCCACAAGTCTTAAATAAAAGGGCCAAGTTTGAAGACTCCTGTTTTAGATCCTCTTCTTTCTCTTCCCCCCTCCCAATTTTTATTTTTGGTAGCCTTGGTTAAACAGGTTTCTCCCACCTGAGAAACAAGCTTAGTACAATCAAATCAGTCACCTGAGTGACCCAATTTACGACTGTCACGACATATGACCATGATAAGCAGGCTGCATTAAGGTTGTAAGTCAAGGACTACGTGTAATGTGTAACTGGAGAAGTGAACTGCATATAAAATCAATTAATGAAAATGCCCAGTTCTTGGAGTGATGGAGAGAGATCTAAAGGTGTTTTTTTTATTATTCATTTTGTTAAAATGATGCAAAAGGCTAGCACTGTAGTGCAGCACCTCTGAATACATTCAGAAATGATCAGATGAAAGTTTTTGAGAGATATTCGGTAGGTTTGAAGGCTAGTTGCATTCAAGAAGGAACATTGTGCAAATATAAAACTACAAGAAAATATCTTGGCTCCTATAGCCTAATATTTCTACCTCTTTGATGATCAAAGAGGATTTGATAGTTTAGAGAAGGAGCTACAGTGACGCTCTTGTTTATTTCAAGATATTGAAATGCCTCTTTTCTCTGAACTTTCTTAGTCATGGAGGCAAATTACAAATTTCAGTTTGCAAGGAGTGCTCTTCGGGTAGAAATATTTGAAAGAAAGAAGAAAAAAAAGCAAAATCTGAAAAGGTTATTCCAGTTGTGTCAGTTGTGCAAGCTTCCACATAAACCGTCTGTATGCTTTAACTTTAGAAAGGTGCACAAAAACACACTCCTCCCCTTACATCAAACAAGAAAATTGATATTCCTATTCATGGATTAAAGTGGAAAGGAAGGCACTGGAAAAAAAAATCTGTTCAATTGACAATCTTTGCAAAATCTGTGCAACCTGAGCAATTGTGGAAGCAGGATGCTAATAGCTGGAGTAGGACCATAAAGTTAGTATGATACCTACATCCAGAAGGTCGCAGGATCAGCCCCCGGCACCTCCTGTTGAGCAGCATCAGAAAGGAAATGAGGAGAAAGACGTTCCTGAAATTCCAAAAGCCAAATCCCGGGGCTAGCAGGGATAGGCTGGAGGGGGCTGGATGGACCAATGTTCAGATTTGGTACAGGTAATCCTCGACTTACAACAGTTTGTTGCTTGAAGTTACAAAAGTACTGAAAAAAGTGACTTACGACCATTTTTCACACTTATGACCGTTGTAGCATTCCCCGTGGTCATGTGATTTACATTCGGATGCTGGAGAACGTGACTCACTTTTATCCCGAAGTTGTGTGATCCCCTTTTGTGACCTTCTGACAAGCAAAGTCAGTGGGGAAACCCGATTCACTTAACAACCTTGTTACTAATTTAACAACTGCAAGGATCCGCTTGACAAATGTGGCAAAAAAGGGTCATAAAATGGAGCAAAGCTCACTTAACAAATTTCTCACGTAGCAACATACATTTTGGCTCAACTGTGGTTGTAAGTCGAGGAGTACTTGTATAATGCAACTCCCTCTATTGGAATTTGCATCCCTGCTTGCTCCTCAATGTCTTCTCTTTTATAATTTTTCTTTTTTTTAAAGTTGGGTGGGATTTTCAGGAAAAAGATCTGCCTACAGTCAAATAACAAGCAGCCCAATTTCTATTTCTGTTGGCAGGTTAGGTCAGAACAGTTTTGTCTAGAAGTCTTATTTGCAAAGTAAATCCAGCTGCACCCGCGCTAACATCTTGGGGTGATTTGCTGTTTTTTTTTTCCACTTACAAAGAACCTTGGAATACGACTAGGCAGTTACCCAGATGTGACCGAGAAGTAACATGGCTGTGGAAAGCGCAAAATTGGTGGGAAAGTGTTCCTTTTCCATCCCATTTTCCCTACTCTTCCATACTAAAGAACCGATCTATTCACAGATCCAAAACTGCAAAGTACTATTAATTAATTAACACAGTGCTATTGTTAGGAAGAGTATACCCATCTCAAGATTAGATTGGCCCTAACCCTTCCGACTTTTTAGAAAGCCTTGAAAACTCACATTTGTTCCTGGATATAGGAGTGGAAGGATTGGGGCTATGAGCTAGTCATTTTGAATTATTATAGATTGGTGTCTTCCTTTGGTGATCTTTAAATATATGCTGGGTTTTTAAAAATGTCACGTATGTTATATGCGGCTAAGTCACCCAGAATCTATCTAGAAAAATGAGAGGCCATATAAATTGCATATAGGTAGTCCTCGACTTACAATCATTTTAGTGACTGTTTGAGGTTACAACGGCACTGACAAGAGTGGCTTATGGCCGTTGTTCACACTTATGACTGTTGCAGGACCTCCATGGTCACATGGTCAAAGTTCAGACACTTGGCAACTGGCTTGTATTTGTGACGTTTGCAATATCCTGGGGGCTCACGCGATTCCCTTTTGCGACCGTCTGACAAGCAAATCCAGATTCACTTAACAACCGTGTTACTAACTAAACAGCTGCAGCGATTCACTTAGCAGTTGTGGCAAGAAAGGTGGTCAAATGGGGGCAAAACTCACTTGACAACTGTCTCACTTAGCAACAGAAATGTTGGCTTCAATTGTGATCGTAAGTCGAGGAGCACCTGTAAAACAAAACTTAAGAGGAAGTCGCTCTGCAACGCCAGCAACGCCCAACCCTGTTAGTACGACTGGCAGTTAGAAGAGTTGGTGGGAACTGTGATCTGGAGCTCACCAGGTGTTGCCTTCCTTTGGCCTAGAGCAGTGGTGGCGAACCTATGGCATGCGTGCCAGAGGTGGCACTCGGAGCCCTCTCTGTGGGCACGCGCATCATGCCCCGGAGATGGCAACTGCCCGTTAACTTGCCGAGGTCCCACGTGGGCGGATGCATCCCAGCACCCCTGTGCTTGCTGGCCTTTATGTGCGGGGGCCGATGGTGTCAGGCAGCAGCCGCTCCGGCCCCTGCCTCGCCTTGCCCTTTGACATGGCACCCTCACCCTGCAGAACCAGCCTCCCACCCGCCAGAGACCCCTGGATCTCCCCCAATCACGCCCGGCTCCCACAGGCGTCCCTCCCCAGGAGCAACATCGAGCTGGCCACGCCCACCCATCTGCCATGACCACTGTAGCCACGCCCACCCGGGACCCGGCAATACATAAGTGGGTTTTGGGTTGAAGTTTGGGCCCTCGGTCTCTAAAAGGTTCGCCATCACTGGCCTAGAGTTGTATTATTCTGGTTTACTCTAGGCGTCAATTGCTGTCTGTTAGCAGGATTCCATCTCTTGTGTTTTCATCAACCCTCTCCTTTTATTTTCTTCCTTCCTTCCTTCCAGGATATGGACAAGACTTGAGTGGCTTTGGACAAGGCTTTGCCGACCCCAGCCAACAGCCCCCCTCCTATGGAGGCCCTTCAGTACCACCCTCCAGTGGGCCGCCCGCGGGGGGCAGTGGTTTTGGCCGTGGACAGAACCATAACGTTCAAGGTTTTCACCCCTACCGACGCTAGCGTGCCCACCTAGAAATCAGGGAGTTCTGTCCAGAGCAGGATATCTGGTATCAGCTGAAACCCAGGAAGGCCAGACTTATGAACTTGTGACAATCACCTACTTTACCAGAGGGGGGGGAGGGGGGGAAACCACAAATGTAACATCTTTTGGAGGGGTGTTGGGGGAGGAAGAGGAGGCAGCTTTTGAAAGCAAAGTTGTCAGTGGTGTTTGGACTGCATTTTTTTTTAAGAAAAAAAAAAGTCTTTTCTTTAACCCATCAGCACAAATAAAGAGTGTCACTGGTTCAAACTACAGGGTTTTAAAAAATGTCTTCAGCTTTAATTAAAAAAAAAAATCTTCAGGTTTCTTTATTTTTGTTGAAAATTTATTATTATTTTTTTTTCCTGAGCCTTTTGTTTTACCATATATTGTAAACTTTATGTTCAAAGAAGAAGAAAAATATATACATTTACAGATTGTGAGATTTTTAAAGAGAAATTTTCTACTATGTATGCAGGCTTATTTTTTAATTTAAAAGAGAAAAAAAAAAACAGGGTTTCCATTAGCACTGCTTAGAGGGTGGAGTTTTGAACCTCCTTTTGTTTAAAGTGGTTGGTCCAGAAACTGGGAGTTATTTTAAAAAGAAAAAAGAAAAAAAAAGTGGGAGGCGGAAATAGGAAAGGGATTTAAGTATGTCCGTTTGTCATTTTGTTACTGGTTTTGGATCTGACATAACAGTCCAGGAACAAGAGTTGTTTGAAAAGGGGGCACCGTGTCACTTCTTGAAGCACAGCATTTCAATTGAGGCTTCATGTTCTTAAAAAAAAAAAATTCTTTGGGGATATGAATTTCTTTAAGGGGGTTAATGGAAGCCTTGCGAAGATGTAGATTTCCCTCAGGCAAAAAAAAAAAAAAAAAAATGGGGGTGCATTTTGCACTAACCAGCGATTACCCCTGGTTTGAATAAAGAAAAGTACATTTGGATTAGAAATGCAAACTTGTCTCCACTTTTTTCTTTTTAAAAAAAAAAAATGCTTGAATTTCTCGTAGGACCTTCTAAGCCGCAAGTTACTTTTGGGGTTGACCCAGGTAGTCCTTAACTTACAATAGTTCATTTAGTGACCGTTCAAAGTTACAACGGCACTGAAAAATGTGGCTTACGACCATTTTTCACAGTTATGACCCATGATGATGTGATCAAAATTCAGTGGCTTGGCAACTGGTTTCATATTTACGACCGTTGCTGTGCCCCAAGGTCATGTGGTCCCCTTTTTGTGACCTCTTGACAAACAAAGTCAAGATTCATTTAACAACTGTCTTACTAACTTAACAGCTGCAGTGATTCTTTTTACAACTGTGGCAAGGAAGCTTGTAAAATGGGGCAAGACTCACTTAAATGTCTCAGTTAGCAACAGAAATTTTGGGCTCAATTGTGGTCGTAAGTCGAGGACTACCTGGTATTGGTGGCCAAGAGCCATTTTCATATTTCCTCTGTTCTGCCACTTGATAGATTGTGCTGTATGATTCTTTGAAGCTCACATGCTGCCTCTCAGCTACTTACCCAAAATGATTCCTGCTTAGTGCTGCACACAAAAGAACAAAACACAACCAGAGAAACTTGGGATCAGAAAAGAGTATTTCCGATATCCCAAAAGTTCTTCAGGCTTGAGGCCACATAACAACTTTTAAATCCACCAATTCTTAACTTTTTCAAAATACAGCCACTTCTCCCATAAGTGTGAAATGGCCCTCATTGCTGACTCCATCTTGTTTCTGATAAAACACAAAGAGAGTGCTCGGATTCCCCTTTTCATGCAGTCATAGCATGTCAATAAGCAGGACATAATTGGCTTGTGTTGCAATGTTAAAATGATTTGCTGTAGGGGAGAAAATTCCAAATTTATCAATAGGACCTGCAGGTAGATGCGCTGGTGTCTGTCTGTGCAAACTTAATGGGTTATTATTTGTATATTGTCCAATTCCAAGAACTGGCAAATTTACATTGTCAAAATATCAATTACTCCAAAGGGACAAAGCCACCAACTTTATCTAATGTCCCTAATCCAAAGTATGTTATTACAGATTTAAAAATCTGTGAAACAGCCTTATCTTAACCATCTACTAACCACTAGGAAGGGGAGCATCAACTGAACCTCAGCTACTCCAAAAGGATTGTCTCTAGCTATTCCCCTAAGCCTGGAAGTTAAGCTATAAAGGGCCCCCTTGTATAGTTATCACCTATTGGCAGTCAGTGCAGTCCTCACACAACTAGTGTTATTTATTTACCCTCCAGCATGTAAGCAGTTGCATTTTGTTCCGTTTGCAGTTTCTGGATAGTCGCTCTACCCCAGAAGAGCACTGAAAGTGTCAGCTCTTTTTGCCCAGGTGTCTCATTCCAGGAAGAGTCCACCTGCCCACGTACCACACCTGTGAAAGTAGAACTTCCAAGTCACAATGTTCAGATAGTCCTCGACTTAAAACACTTAGTTTAGTGACTGTTCAAAGATACAAGCACTGAAAAAAGTGCACAATCATTGCAGCATCCCCATGGTCACGTGATCAAAATTCAGATGGTTGGCAACTGATTCATATTTATGATGGCTGCACTGTCCTGGGGTCATGTGATCCCCTTTTGCTACCTTCTGACATTCAAAGTCAATGGTGAAGCCAGATTCACTTAGCAACTGTGTTACCAACTTTAACAACTGCAGTGATTCATTTAATAACTGGCAAGAAAAGTCATAAAATTGGGCAAAACTCATACTTAACAACTCTTGCTTAGCAACTGAAATTTTGGATTCGGTTATGGTCATAAGTTGAGGACTACTCGTATTTCTCCAGGCAGCGTGCCACCCCATTCAGAGTCACAGCCGGAGCCGAAAGTGTGAATTCAGCTACTTCTTCCCAATCCAATGCATTGACAGAACTTCCATTGCATCAGTAACTCAACATAGGGTGGAGCTATATCAGTGTTTCTCAACCTTGACAATTTTAAGGCATGTGGACTTCAACTCCCAGAATTCCACAGCTAGCAATGCTGGCTGTGGAATTCTGGGAGTTGAAGTCCACATGCTTTAAAATTGTCAAGATTGAGAAACACTAATGTCAGCAATACACCAAGATCATATCCTAAATCAACAGTTGGACTGGTTTCATGCAGATTTTGAAATACTAGGGAAAATAAACTGCAATTATCTGGTTGATTTACCCATCAAGGGCAACTTCCGTTTCAGGAAGTGGAAATGCTGTAGCATAAGGTCTTTATTCTCAACCTTTACAAGCAGCCCAGAAGAATACATTGGAACGATGGAATTAAAAGCTAAGAGCCCAAAAGTGGTAATGCTCAGGCTCTACTGTACTTCTGAAATGGACCCTGTTGTAAGATGCTGGGTGAGTCATCTCTTCAGATCCTGCCTTGGGCAAATTTGAATGACACCATCAGCTCAAAGAAGTCCACAGAATAACAAGATCTCAGAGGTCTTCTAGTCCAACCCCCTGCTCAAGGCAGACCTTATATCATCCCAGTCAAACGGTTGTCCAATCTATATTTGAAAACCTCTAGGACAGTGATGGCGAACCTTTTAGAGACCGAGTGCCCAAACCGCAACCCAAAACCCACATATTTATCGCAAAGTGCCAGGGCTGCATCAGCATTGTGGTACTCTCGGGGGAGCAGGGAAGCGCCTCTGAGTGCCGCCTCTGGCATGCAAAAACTGGAGGCGCAAAAATGGACCACCGTGTTACAAGGTGCAAAAATGGCCACCGTGGCACCGCAGGGTACAGATACAAGGTGTTGCACCACATAAGAATGGGGCAGGGCTAGTATCATGCAGGCACTAGCCCCTCCCCATTTGCAGTGCATGCGGGCTTGTGGCCCCATGTGCGCATGCACGCATGTAAAATGATTCCCCCTCCCTTTTCTTCCAGTCCACCAATCAACAATGGTTGGTGACCTCTGCTTTACCATCTCTACTCGAGCTTGCTAGTCGGCCACTTCGCCTCCTTTGTGCTGGGCGGGGCTCCTGCTCCGGGCAGCGGTGGCGGCCTGATGGACCTGTTGCTGGTGGCGGTGGCGCGCGTGCCAACAGAGAGGGCTCTGAGTGCTGCTCTGGCATGCGTGTCATAGGTTCATCACCACTGCTCTAGGATGTGGGATTAGAGTTAGACAGACCTTTGGTGTGAAAAAGAAACATCTTGTTTACAATTCAACAGGATGGCTAGTTGCTTTAAGTGGCAGCAACTAGATGAGCAGACCAAAACCAACTTTTAATCTGAGTGAATGGCATTTGATCCGATGATGGAGGACACTGTCGTTCATCCATTGCCATATTTAGATCACTTTCTAGTCCACATAAGACTTGGACTAGCACTGACAATTTTACCTAGTTTGGGTAATGCAACATCTGCAAGAGAACCAAGCTCAGAGAGCATCAAGGACTTATTTCAACTCTTGAGCTACAAATATTCTCCTTTATTAGTGACTTCTCTGTTCACCAAGCCTTGGTTTACCAAGGAGCTCCAGAAAATACAGCAACGGATGGAGTACTAGTTGAGAGAAATTAGAAATGAACTTGACCAAATGTGGATAGAACAGCGGTTCTCAACCTATGGGTCGCGACCCCATTTGGGGTCAAACGACCATTTTACGGGGGTCGCCAAACAACGCAATCCACCATTTTCCCCCCTCGGGGCGGTGGCGCGCATGCGCGCTGCGCATGGGGGGCGCGCGCATGCGCAGCGCATCCGTGTGACGGGGTCGCCGTCACACAAAGGTTGAGAACCGCTGGGATAGAAGCTCATGACTGAACCTATGGCTTTTATGACTTGTGGACTTCAACTCCCAGAATTCCTGAGCCAGCCATGCTGAGGAGAAAGGGAGAGGTTTCCAAGCTGAGCCATGCTGGCTCAGGAATTCTGGGAGCTGAAGTCCACGAGTCATAAAAGAGCCTACCCCTGACCTATACCAAGACTGTAAGAGTAGCAGGAACCAAGATTTCTCCATCTTGATTGCTTTGGGAGATTATGCCCCAGAAACCTTGTTTAGAGCTACCTGTTCTCTTTTGGAAAAGGATCAGCAGGAATATCATTCTATGTTCGTTCTCTGTATGACCATTATTCTATGCTTTAAGACTTATACAGGAAAACAAGAAGAAACCTCATTAGTTGCCCTTCTATTCTCTGCCTAGAAAATAATTTTCAACGTTACTCTGTCTTTGAATCTGGAGGTACCATAAATGTTTTGCAAGATTGCCATAATTAGTCCAATCTAACCTGCATGAAAACGCACAGATGATCTGTATTTCTTTTTCTGCCTTTTTTTTTAACTCCGTGTTCATGGCATATAGATAGAGAGATCAGTTTCTAGTGGATGAAATGCCCACAGGGATTATTGCAAATGATACAGAGCAGTGGTGGCGAACCTATGGCACGGGTGCCAGAGGTGGCACTCAGAGCCCTCTCTGTGGGCACACTCACCGTCACCCCAGTCCTAGGCCTTCAGCTGGCTTTTATAAAACCTTTTTGCTTTAGGCCTCCACCGCCATGTGCAAAAAAAAAAAAAAAGGTTCAATCAATCAATTTCAATTTCTTGCGGGAAAAAAAAAGATCTTGCAAAGTTGGAATTAATTGATTGAACTTTTTAGTCCCACCCAGTCTGCCTTTACCACCGCACCCACGCCCACCCATTGGGCCACACCCACCCGGCACCCAAGGATGCATAAGTGGGTTTTGGGTTGCAGTTTGGGCACTCGGTCTCTAAAAGGTTCGGAATCACTGATATAGAGCAAGTTATTTTGATCTGATCCAAGTGGAAATTTACAGACAGCAACAGGTATCTAAGGCTTCCTTAATTTGCAAGGAGCCATTGTGATAATTTATGAGCCAAAGGCATAAGAGGTGCACCAAGGAAGCTATTAAAAATAAATAGGTCTATATAACTATCGGCATGGGCTGCACATATAGGGAGGATATCGAAGGAGGATGCCTCTCTGAT